ATGTTGGATGATTTTGGCATATCTGTGAACATTAGATAAATGATAGATTTTTTAGGTTAGAAAGCAAATCTGTGATATGAGTACATTTGATTAATTGAGAATTTGCATTCAACAAACTGACTGCTGCTTCATGAGAAAATCCATATTGTAAAGATTTACTAACACTTAGTTTGAATAGTAAATTTGATGATCTTTAAGTTTTTGAATGGATGGATGCCTTTATTTAAAAATAAAAATAAACCTCAGGGTAGCCCCATCAGAAGCCCTAAAGAGCCACCTGCTATCAATGGGAGCCCTAAGTATAAACTAAATAAAATAGGTTACAATTTCATGTGAAATACAAACACGAAGATATAAAACACATTTATAAGGCTTTAGATTTCTAAATTTAAAATTATGTATATAAAAATTACTTTACTTTGATGAATTATAAACTATGGATCCATAGTAATAAAATGATTGTTTTGCAATTTCTGTCCGTACCGAAGGTAGATGGATTAAAGTTTTTTGGTGAGTATCACAGCTATATAAATGCTTATTTAAAGTAAAATAGTTCTTAAAAAACTGAGGACATTGCCCTTTTATACATTTGTTCCCTAAATTCAAAGTGTGCTTGGATTGCCCATAGGCTAAAGTTGGCGAATTCAGTTTTTTGATTGCATCCTTACTACTTGAAGCTCTGCATACAATCCTTCCTGCTCGTCTCTGTAATGACTCTGAAGCATTCTTATTTACTTGTCCACAGTATCCCTACACTGTGTCACAATATTCAATAATTGGTCTTATCATGGAAGTATAAATAGTCTTTGCACTATGCCAAGTAATGCAGTAGCGAATGCGGCCAAGCATTTCAACCTCTTTACCAGCTTTAGCTAGGATGAATTTAACATGATCGTTCCAACTGAGACGTTCATCAAACACCACGCCAAGATACTTGAACTGAGACACACGCTTGATAGAAGTGCCATTTACACTAATGGTAAAAGAATCCATATTAGACAGGCAAGGTGATGTGCCAAATACCATAGCTTCAGTTTTGTAAACATTCAAAAACAAATTGTTCTGACGAAGCCAACATTCGATTACTTTAAGTTCTTCGTTCAATCTTTCTTGTAATGCATTGACTTTGGAGGCAGCGTAAAACAAAATGGTGTCATCCGCATACATAAGCATGCTGCAGCAATTCACAACATTGGGAAGATCATTTACATGAAGTATAAATAGTAAAGGTCCCAAAATGGATCCTTGTGGGACTCCAATGGAAATGGGCTCTGGGTCAGATGATACACCCTGGAAGTCCAAAACCTGAGTTCGATCATGGAGATAGTCTTTAAACCATGCAAGCTCCTTATCTAATACACCCATGTAAGATAGCTTTTGTAGTAATAAGTCATTATTAACTGAATCAAAGGCTTTTCGAAAGTCAATGAAAACTGCACCTGTTAACATCCCTTGATCCATGTTCCTTCTTATGGTGTCTGCAAGTGAAAGAGCAGCAAATTTGGTGGAATGAAATTTTCGAAAACCGCATTGAAATGGACTCAAAACATTATGTTCACGCAGATACTGATAAAGCTGATGATGAACAGCCCGCTCCAGTAATTTTGAGACAGTGGGTAGAATTGAGATGGGACCATAGTTATCCATTTCCACTACCTTGCCCTTCTTAAAGAGGAATAACTCTTGCGGACTTGAAATCCAATGGAACACGTCCTGATTTTAAAGAATAATTAATTATCTCTGCCAAGGGTTTAGCCACAATATCAGCAGAATCAATCAAGAGACGAGCAGGAATATTGTCCAGTCCCATTGCTTTTCCTGTTTTCATACCACGTAATTGAGCTTTGACAAAATCCTCCGAGACCTCATCAAATTTAAAAGCTGGATGCTGTACAATGATGTAATGGATGTTTTTGGACCCAGTTGAAGACGAGGATGCAGATGGTAAGCATTCCAAGAGCCAAGTAGCTGCACCAACAAAAAACTTATTCTATGACTTTCATATATTCTTAACCGTATATTCATCACTTCACGGGTTTATTTAGAACCACTATCATGACCAGCTCCCAGTTGGCTTGTTAGCTCAGTTGGTAGAGCGCTGCACCGGTATCGCAGAGGTCATGGGTTCAAATCCCGTACAGGCCTGAATTTTTTTCAGGCCTTATTTTCACTACTGCCTAAGTAGTGCATATCACTGCGAGGATCACTTTCATTCATGTCTTTATCCGCAGTTCAATTATATGACTTTTATATATTCTTAACCGTATATTCATCTCTTCACGGGTTTATTTTCAGGCCTTATTTTCACTACTGCCTAAGTAGTGCATATCACTGCAAGGATCACTTTCATTCAAGTCTTTTTATTGGGCGTTATTGACTATCCAGTGTTTATTTTTGGCAAAAAAGCTGTTTTCTTGCCAGGTAATATTTTCTCCATTGTTTTCCAGAAAGCTTTATGATCTTTGCCACTGTCTTTAATAAGACGATGATTATATGTAGC